CGTTTTAATAACCAAATATTTATTACTTTATTTAAATTGAACACATATATTTATGTTACCATACTGGTCAAGCTTTCTTTAATTCCAAAGGAGATCATAGGTTCAAATCTTTTCAATTGCATTGGTTTTAATAACAATATTTCGAAAATGATAGAAAATATTAAACTAAAATTATTAAATAAAGGATAGTCCTTGTAAAGAGCCAAACTCCTAACATTCGGCTTACTAAATGTTCTTGCCAAATGAGCTACAATAGTTACTTGAAAAACAACATAAATATATTCAAACAAATATATACATTGATATCAAAAAAGTTTAATACTGGCGGATCCAGCATGGGCAGCCACGGGTACTCGCCGAGTGCTAGATCCTCCGCTACGAATATGCCCTTGTCCACACTCATAATATAACTGAACTTTTGTTTTCTTGTTCTTCATGTGTGATTGCAATCTAAAGGCCTTCAGCATTCCAGAAGTAGCTTCTAGTTTTTATTGTTCGTAGTGCCCACCCATCCGTGCAATCAATAATTTGAAAAATGCTAAAGAAATTTTGGGGTTCAAAGCAAGAAATATCAAGAATGTAGATTAGAAGTTATTGCATTTTAGTCTGAAATCATATCAAAGTGTTCATAACATGATAAGGGTAAATCCTCCAAATTATTGTGCGATTAATAATAATATTTATCACACAAAAAGAATTATTTAGGCAAATCAAATTTTGAAATTAAATTTTGTAAATTCATGTTTGTAGAAAATCTTATTTCCAAACTTGATGAGCTGGCTAACGAATCAATTTCATCATAATCCAATTGTATAGAATGTTCAACTAGTTAGTACTAAAGATTCTATACCTCAAAAGAAATACGGACAAGCGAAAAGCCAATAAAAAAAACCTTAGAAGAAACATTAAATAAGATTAATCAATCAAGTACTGATAATATGCTTTTTGTAGAGTCATAAATGTTTGAAAGTAATGAGATTTCAGTAAATTATATATTATTCCATAAATTATGAAAACGAAATAATATTGTTGTAGACAATATCTTCGCCTTTAACGTGGCTATTGAAATTGTGCAAAATGAAAAATTTATATCAAAGTCCGTTAAACAATGTCAACATATAATTTGACCAAAATTGAAAGAAGTCATACTGGAGGAATTCAATTCCTTAGAAAAACAATGTTATTCGAAACCTTGAAAATATAATACGTAAGACACAAATGAGTTTTTGTAAGGAAGAAAAATGAACACAATGAAATTACAAAATATAAAACATAATTCGTTGCTCAAAATTTTTCATAAAGTTTAGGGATCGAGTATAAAGAAGCATATTCTCCCATATAAAACCATCACTTTTAGATTTTTAATTATTTTGAATGAATCACAAAAGCTCGATATGTACCTTATGAATATAGTAACTGCATATCTATATGGTTCACTTGATTAGTAACAGAGTTAACCATTTTCCATTGTGAGTTCAAAATTAAAATGCATTTTTTTAAAACAACATAACAATAATAATAAAAAAAAAAATCAATACACTACTACAATTGTAGACTATGTATTTTCATACTAGGAACGTATAATTACATCACTATCGATATTATCAAATACATCGTTCTCTATATTTTCCACCAAACTATCACTTAACCAATGATCTCTCATTCGATTACGAAGTCGATTCTTGACGATCTTCATTGTAGAAAATATTCTCTCTAGCACTAGCAACTTAAATAATTAATGCTAATATTACAAACCTGTAAGCTAATGGGTATACCTCATTTTATCGTTACAACTAACTTTTCTACAAGATTACTAAGGCCTCGTAACTTGCTCTTGTCGAAAGTAGAAAATGAATTATACGGACATAAACATGAAACACAAAGAAGTAAGTCAATATTTATCTGGGAGAAACGATCATTCAACTATGAAAGTTGCATATCCAAGATAGCATAGAAGCAATTTAAATTAGATTTTTAAGAAAGTGCAAAAAGACTGGATAGACTAGTTACATAATATGAGATGTGCTATCCTTGTATGAATCATCTCCGAGAGTGTCCATCTCTGCAATTGGTTTGTCTAAAGCCTAACCATGGTGTGAGAAGTGAACATCGAGCTAGAATATAATAAAAGACAATATGATCTTTCATTTGTTCATGAGGAGATATGCTCTTCACAAAAGATGCACCTAAGATTTTATATGTCATGCTTGGTGTAATAAGTGCACATTCAATTACATGATGAGAACGAGGAGGCAGAAAAGCTGGACCCATAGAATTAATAGGAAGTTGAGAAATCGAAAATTCCCTGACTAAACTTTCTTACCAACGAAAAATTGAGACTGCAATAAACCTAATATTTAAAAGTCTTAAAATATTCCATAATCTATATCCTTTTATGAGCATAAAATTCATAGACGGAGATAATTGAAGGAGCTGAAAATAATTCATGCTTGCATAAAACTGCAAACAATTTAACAGAAGGCAGAAGGCCATCCTCCATGCCAGTGAAAATTCGCATCTCATGAAAGCTCGAGTATCATACAAAATACAACTGGACATTATCATTCAAATTTTAGATTTTGCACTCCAAATTTCACTCCTCAATACCAAGATCCCCATATCGGGCTCATAGATAACATTATCATCAACATATTATCAATATTGACCACAAATTAAAGTTATAAATCAGTTCGAATCATCTATAAATGTCACCAACAGTTTTTCCCAAATTTAACAACAATGATAAATAAAATAAGATTGCTACTTAAAATTATAAAATTTCATAGTTTAAGAATAGAGAATGGATATTAGAGAAGAAGTTTCATTTGTAATGAAGAATAGAGATTGAAGCAGGGTATGTATATTTTAAACGTGAAGCTGCATGAGGAAAAGAGAGTTATCATGAGTTAGAAGCAAAAGAATTAGGGCAAAATTGCAAAAATTTAACCAGAAAAAAAAGAGTGTCAAATTTTTGTGGGGTCGCTTGACCCCATGTAGGTCTACCCGCACTTGATACTAACATATACATTAAAATTTTTGAAAGATTTAAATTACCGAAAACAAATGATACAAGTCTAAAATCTATGTTCTCAATTTAATTGTAAAGATCGTTATATGTATTGAAACAATCCAGACGTGCATAAGATAATCGTCTTAGTTAATATTTGTTGAAGGATGATTATAATATTGGTGAAGTCTGTCCATGTATTTTCATAAAGCAAACAAATATTGAATATGCAATTACTACAGTTTAAATTGATAAGTTAAACCTTTTTGGAACTCTTGAAGAGCCCAACAAAAATGCAAATTATTTGAAAAATAAATTTGAGATGAAAGATTTAGGATATGCCAAATTTTATTTTGAATTGAAGATTGAATACTTTCAACAACAATTATTTGTGAATCAATTTTCATATATAGTTTTAAAACTTTTTATATAGATAAAGTACCTTCATTAACATCACATATAGCCGTTCGATCACTTAATGTGGAAAAAGATCAATTGATCCTAATTGAAGATGAAGAAATGGTTCTTACTCTCGAGTATCATATCTTAGTGCAATTAAGGCATTAGGCTATGCTACAAATTATACTCGATCAAATATAATTTTTTTTCTTTGTAAATCTCCTTGTAAGACTTAACTCTACTTCAATTCAAAGATATTGTAATAGCACTAAACATTATTTTGTTTTTTGAGAGGTATTATTGATATGATATTATTTTACTTCTAAAAAATTGGGATCTTTTTTAGTGGATATACAGATGGAGCTTATCTCCCAAATCTACGTAAAGTTAAAGCATGAACATGATATATGTTTACACGTGTAAGAACTACTATATCTTGAAGATCTGTGAAGCAAACCCTGATAGCAATAGCAAAATTAACATGTTCAAATCATTTTGAAATTATTACAATCCATGAAGTACATCGAGAATGTGTATACACTACAACAAAAACAACTTTTTACGGCATTCATTTAACGCATGCATCTACTGCATGCCGTAAAAAGAGACTAATTACCGCATGCGCTATATGAATGCCGTAAAAAATTAATTAATTAAAGTATTTATGGTGTACATCCTCTGCACATCGTATTAAATGAGCATTTACGGCATGCTTATAGTGCACGCCGTGTATTGTAAAAAATATGAAATTTACAAAGCCCTAAACATCATTTCTCCCCATTCCCCTCCCTTCAACAGTGCCTTTCCACAACTTCGCCCGATGCCACAGCTCTCTCTTGTCTCTCTCTGCCTTCCACCGCCGACCAACGGAACCCCGCTCTCACTCTCGTCTCTCTCCCTTTACTTTAACGTCTACGCCACCGTTGGCATCAATAGGGTAAGTAATTACTTCTTTGTCTTCAGGATTCGAGTTTCAAATTAGAATATGGGTTGTAAATCCTGAAATCCAAACCTAACATTTCATCTCTTCTCTCACTCGATGGATGACAGCTCTCTGGGACTCTCACTCTCAAAGTCTCTATCAACTACCTGGGCACCATCTGCAAAAGAAAGTATAAGTGATGATTTTATTTTCTACCAATTAGTAAAAATTAGTATCTGGTTGTACATTTAGGATTAATCTATTAGGAAGAAAGGATTTGAGAAAAATATAGCGTAAATTAGGAGTGGATTATAATTTAATTGATTATAATTTATTATACATTTATTTGATGGGATGTGTTAGATTACTGATTAATTAACAAGTTATAAATTTTATACTATTTGTGTTACCTTGCTTGAACTCCTGTCATTCAAGTACTTATATAGATGATTTAACATCCTTTTTAATTTATGATTTTCTTTATACTAAACTTGCCTTGCCTCGTCCATATATTCTCCTTATTGTATTTGATTTTCTTTATACTAAACTTGTCTTGCTCTTATGTTGTTCGGGATATTGCCGTGGCTCTTGGTTTGGTGGCAATTGCTTTGCATTTCAGTAGTTGGACTTTTGTCCTGTGTATTGGTTTGTGCAGGGGACAATTTTCTGGGCAATTTTTTTTATTGGCCATGATTGGTAATCCCTTTTTCCTTTCTCAATATCTACTAACTTTATATATCTAATACAAAAACAAAATGTCAATTAAGATTAATGAGATTTGATTACTTGGATTGGTGAGACTGCCCAATATAACAAAATTTTACTTTCACTGTCAACACAAGTAAATGCTATGAAAAGGACGGAATTGTCTATGATTGGTGTCTTGTTGATTACAGTGGCCATGGGAGCTTCTCCGAGAATCTCAATCTCAATAATATCATGGGACACATCTTGCATTCTTCCATTCTTGTACCGTACCATGGATGGTTAGTCTTGAAAATATCTCCAATCCATAATGTAACGCTGTAGAAAACTGATGTTCTTATTTATGTTAGCATTATAAGATAATCAACCACAGGACTCACCATCAAAATCATGGACATGTTGAAAATGACGAATCATGGGTACTGGTAATGTTTTCCATAGATTCTTGAGCTTTTCTTGATTCATGGGTACACGACAATTTTTGTTTGTCTTTCTTTTAAGAATCTGTGGGTAATTTGTGGTTATGATTTCTTAACTGGATGGTCTAATTTATGTCCCTGCCATTTCTTTTCTCATTCCAGTTGCCAGAGAAGATCTACAAGAATCTGGATTTGTCAATCAAATTCCTCAAATATGAAATCCCTTTTCCCCTGTTTGCATATCGCCAGTATCAGGTAAGGTTACCTGTGACATTATTACAGTTAAAAAGAAATTTTAAGTGTACTTTTTTTATAACGTGGCGACATTGGACCTGACATGATAAAAGGATCATGTCCTGCTCAATACTTACGTATAATGGATTGGACAATCCTCACACGATTAAGAGAGTGCTACTTAACTAAACTTCTGTTTTGTTGGTCTTGTATTGCAATGGTCTAGGAGTCCAGGGAAGAAAGGTTCACACTTCAATCCTTACAGTGATTTGTTCAAAAGCAATGAGAGTTCCAACACCACCACTCCAGTGGATATTGGTGAGACATGCTAGATGTGTTCTACCGCAAAAAAAAAAAAAATTGAGGTTGTTGCTCCAGAGAATTTTGATTATATATGGAAAAAGGAAGAAATTACAAAAGGGAGGAACTTACAAATTTACTAGAAAAATGTTAAATCTGAAGACTCCAGTGATAACTCCGAGGCAGAACCATTTGGTAGAATATATAGTGGAGCAACACTTCGCCATCCGTGTCTTTGGCTTCTGAGAATTATTTAGACACAATCTACATTTTTTTTTTCATTTTGTAATAAATTGTACTTTTTTTTTGTTTATCGAAATTATGGAAAACGTAATTACGAATGTATTAATGTATGTAATTTTGTTCTTTAATTATTTTAATTATTATAGGTTTGATGGCAATCAAATGAATAAAAATTTGAAAAAAAAAATTGATGTTTAGGACTCTTTTACGGCTTGCACGTGTATGCCATAAAATGATGCATCTTTTACAGCATGCATATGTATGCTGTAAAGAGCAACATCTTTTTATGGCGTGCAAATGCATGCCGTAAAAAGTCTATCAACGGCGCACATTCCCTTTTTTACGGCATTCATTGTACGTCATAAAAAAATTGAGTATTTACAACATGGCTTTATACGGCATGCATTGTATACCATAAAAAGCAAAATTTGTTGTAGTGATAGCTGCGAAATATGACCTATTATATTCAAGTATCATGTGGATTAATTTCAACAAAAATAGTTCAACATTATTTTATGATGACAGTGCAGTTTGTAGTGCACAAACTCAAAGAAAATTATATTAAAGGAGATAAGACAAAGCATATTTTTTCTAAAATTATTTTATATATCTAAGCTTCTGAAGAATAGATACATCGATGTTTAACAAATTCGTTTGAGTGTCAATATGTTTTTCGATATTCATATTCAAGAAATTTGTTCATGAAATTGGAATGCATCGATCCAACGATCTTCAGTGATTAACAGCAAGCGACTAGACGTACTATTTTTCCTTCGTCTTAGTTTTGTCCCACTGAATTTTTCATGTGCAAGTTTTTAATGAGGCAATATTTCTTTAATACTTCAAACTTATTTTAAATTAATTTTACTCCTTTTTCCTTTTGTTTTATTTTTTTTCTTCCCAATAGGTTTTTATTAAGTTTTTTAATCTTATCGTGATACTTCGACAATATTATTTACCTTATAAGAGTGTGTTATATTCAAGTTGTTCGATAATTATTATTTACCCTATAAGAGTGCGTTATATTCAAATTGTAACTCTTAATGAATACTTATAATTATTGATTTAGAATTTGAATATAATTATTGATTTACTCTTAGTTTTATCATAATTACTTTATATTTCTTTTGTCCTTTTAATTTCACAACAATCTTAACTTTATTATAAATAATAGAATAATGCTAGATGTACTATATAGGGGAATAGTATATTGATAGTAAATGCGAGGAAAAAATTAAGAATTATTTCAAGTATCAGCCAAATTGTACAGGATATTGTACAAATAGCATGTTCGAAAAATTAATGGTGTAAATCGTGTCAGTGTAAATCAATATGCAATCAATAATATACCTATAGTAGGGTTGTTAATAATATATGCAATAATATATGTTGACCGCTGACCATTTGTACTGTACATAGCATTATCCTTATGCTCAGCCAAACATAGGTCCCCGCAACACCATTTTCTCTCAAATCCCTGAATTGACAAAATCATCCAAATTCATCACTCCACTTACCAGAATAATTGCATCCCATTACCAGAATAATTGCATCCCTATAAACACAATGAATAATCATCCAAGGGCATTATAGCAATTTCATTCAATTTGACCCCGTGACGTGCTCATGCGGGTCGATTCGCTTGTTTAAGGCACACGCCCACGCGTGGAATATGAACTCTTACCCTAACCCACCTGTATGGTCCTCTGCAAATTCTAAAATTTAAGGTACGATCCGGGTTCTTGATTAATTGGCTTCGGTGATGTGGGTTTCATAAATTCTCTTGTAAAATTTTCTTATATATATGGTTATTGGTTTTTAGGTTTCAAAAATGGTTTCTGAAGCTGCTGATTCGGACAGTGATCATGTAAATGTGGTTGCTAGGTTAGTTTTTCTGTCTATTGGGACTCTCTTTTTCCTTTTCCTGGCTTGCTGTTAAATTGAGCTCACATGTGAAGATTTCATTTGATGAGGGTTTTAATTTTATATACAAAATGGGGAGATATCAGTGTGTGATTACACTATTTACTTGTAATTATGCAAAATGGAAGGGATAAATAGGTTTTATCTTATGCAATTGGATATAAGATGGTTAATTTTTGTGGTACAAAGTTGGGGCCGGGGAAAAGTCGCTGCTACTCTTTCGTGAATACACCTGTCAACCCATGAAGAAAATGAATTGGCATATTGAAGATATAAGTTATATAAATAAGTTTGTTTCCTTTCTAGTGGATCAAGCTTTTAGATGAGGTGATTTGATAATCTTTGAGTTTTTAATAAATGCGTTCGTATCTAGTCAAATGAAGAACCTCGCTAAAATTCACAATTTAAGAGCAGTTGAAAGCAAGATTTAAGATGGAGCATGACATTATGGTACAATACTGTAAATTTGGTTGTGTTACTGGAAATGGATGATTAACGTTACTTAAACCATGTTTGAGTTCCTGATTTTCATTTGATAACTTGCATTTCTGTATCAAAGCACTGCTGCTTTGTTTTTATAGTCTGAAAACTTCATTGTGCTGCAGGTTGCATCCCAATAAAAAGAACCCTGGAAAAGTTCCAAGGAAAATTCATAAAGCCGAGAGGGAAAAGCTGAAACGAGACCACATGAATGTTCTTTTCTTGGAGCTTGGCAAGGCTCTTGGTAATAATCCATCAATATGCTGTGCTAATTGTTAATTTTATCTCTGATGGTCACAAAAGCTGCTTTACAAGGCTAAGATTAGGAAAAAGTCAAGTTACTTAAAAATAACCATTTGTCTCCAAACATGTTTGGATAACTTACTTTTTTGTTATTTTTAAGTAGAAACTATTACTTTCTTTAAAGTAAATCCTAATTCACGTCAAAATGTAACCTACTTATTTCCAACTGACTAATAAAGATTATTTACTGTGAAAGTTACTTTTTTCTTAATAAGTTATACTTTTAAGCATGTGTTCAATCATGATCAGTTAATTTGTAAAAATACAAGTTGACAATGTATCGCAAATCTTCTGTACAGAACCAGAATATCCGAACAACGGAAAGGCGTGTATACTAAAAGATTCGATTCGACTACTGGGAGAATTGTTTACACGGGTCGACAGTCTTAAAAAGGAGCACACTACTCTGCTGTCTGAATCTAATTATGTAAGCTCCCTAAAGGCACTTTTGTTGTGTAATTTTAGAGGACTGCATAACATATCGAGGGTTCTCTTACTCATCAGGCTTCTTAAATTCTGTTTAAGTTTTCTGTACTTCATCTTGGCTGCTGATAGATCATAAATTTGTTCATAAAAATTAAGATCCGTTTGAAGAATTTATGAACGGTAAGTCAGTTTGTCTTCATCTGGAAAATATTTCTTGACTCTTGTTTCGGATTCTTAAAACTTGTGAAGGTTAAGCATCTAGATATCATCTTCTGAAGACACCTATATTTAAGGGAATATTTCCTGATTTTATTTTATTATTATTATTATTATTTTTTATCATATATTCGGATCAGAGTTCTGGGCGAGACATGAAATCACCTCTCTCAGGTTGCCAGTTTAATGGATTGATTGTGTCAATCAAACATATATTCTTTTTTATGGCTCAAAACCAATGTCCAAAGAAAGTACCAATCATTTACATATTTTATCATGTAAATTTCTTGTCAAGATGAATATTCTTTGATTCAACATCTTCCATTTTTGAGTGCCACATAACTTTCAAGATGGAAGTTATCCTATAGATGCTGTATTCATGCCTGTCTCTTGAAAACATGAATGCAACAATACCGGGATCTAAATTTTCAGCACACTATTTTTTACACTTTAAAACTAAAACTGTCATGCAGAATGGACTGTCATACGGAATGGGTTATCTGATCTTTCCACAAAGAATTAATTCCAAGTAATTCTCTTTGTTGGACTTTGTGGAGTATTGTATCGTATACTTATCCAATTGACTTCAGATTGATCTAATATTATGTATCCATGTGTTGGATCGCCCCAATATTCCCTTATTTTTAAAGGATTATTTAGGGGGTTATTTTCTCTTAGATACAGATCGACACATGAGATCGCAGTTGTAATTTTTTCCTTCTTCAACTAGTGGCAAATGCACATAACTTTTATGGAGAATTGTGAACCTGGGTTTGCTCATGTGCATTATTTATTTTGCTAGCTAAATATTGCTTTCAAAATTAAGATTAGGACTCAATTATTTTGTTGGTATTTTCAAGCTCGAGATATTTCTCAATATAGTTGTGCATAATTGTTTAATCTATATGCTTCATAATTATGGATAGGTTACAAATGAGAAAAACGAGCTCGAAGAGGAAAATGCTGCCCTTGAAGCACAAATTAAGAGGCTGCAGGGCCAGATAGACGAAAAGGTTCATTTGCAGGACGCAAGTATTTCTCGACTGGAAAACAGCGCTATCTTACAACTGCCAGAAGATCATCCTACATTCCCTCTAGCTGGACATGCACCGCAGACGACGTCGATTATGGGTCCTGTATACGTCATGCCACTACAACCCGACTCCCTACTGTATGCCGGGTCGGGGTCCCATGCTGATGTGAATCTACCTGCTCCACCATCGAATGTGAGCAAGCCGCGCCCTCGTTATCCTTCATCTTCGGATTCTTGGCCATCTAATATTCTCACCGTACAGCCAAATGTTGCTGAACAGATCTGATAAACTAGAGGTAGGCTAGGTACGAGGAGACTGAGGCTTTTGTAATGTATTGAAATTGCTTCAATTTGATTCTTGGGATTTAGAATGCAAGTCTATATTGTAAATGATGATTCGTATGTGAACTTTAGCTTGGCTTCTGAATGGAATTCTTTTGAGTCCTTTGATTTTTCTATGAATAAAGCTGAACAAACAAGGTCAAAGATTGGGGCTTCTTTCCAAAGAATGAAGTGACAGATTTTGATTGACAATTTTTCTTTAATTTTTTTTAACTGCAAATGAGAAAATGTCAAGTGTATTTGTGTATGAATCCTTATCATTGAATCTGTTCATATAGCAGAATTACTTTTCTAGTGCTTATACTTTAGTCTACTACTATTGGTACGAAGATGATTGATTGTCAATCAAATTCCCTTTTATTAAACTAGTAATGGGCTAGAATCCAATTTAAATGTGCTCAGGGCACCGCCAACGTTTTAAGCGATTCACTATTTTTAAATTACGTATTTTACAATTTAAAGAGCATGTATAAATTTAGAGGATAAAAGGTTTTATGTACTAATATAGGATCTTTATATTCAATACTTAATTTTATTACTCCAAAAATATATTTATTGTTTTTTCCTATCTTTTATTTTCATTAGCTGCCCTCCAAAATTATTTTCTTCTTTGAAAATTAAAATATTTTGAATGCATTTAGTGGGTAAACTCACTTTCTAATTTAAAAATTTAATTTAAAAAGTTTTTTAGAGCATAATTTTAAGGGAAAATTCATATATAAGAGATTAAGAATGAAACGTTTCAAAATTAAGAAACAAACTTTAAAATTTCAAAAATTAGATTTTTTTTAATTTTATATATAAGCTAATTAATTAAACATATATTTTATTAATTAAATATATTAAGGTCCGAAATCCATACAATTTGGTTACAAATTATTTCTCGATCACAATAAAAAATTTTATAGATCACAGTTTATTCATCGATCACAAAATCAAAACTTTTACTGTTCACTTGTTATTTTTCAATCAGAAGATACCCAAATTATTGGTCATGCCACCTTTAGATCCACCAGCGATCTAACAAAAATATTGCTATCGCCAAATCCACCAGCAACGCCACCTCCACCACAATTCCACAACCGACGACCACAAACACCATCATAACCACCAATGCACCAAAAACACCATACAGTAATCTCCTGCTACATCACCTACAGCCATCGTCAAAAAGCCGCAAAATCTCTTGCAACTTCATTATCCTCCACCAATACGTATACTCAAACCACACAACATTCACCTCCCACCCTGACAATTCTCAAGCCGTGTTCTTCCTCCATAAATTTCATAGATTAGTTCATTAAAAAAAAACTAATGTGACAATGGTTGGAGTTTGTGGTGACTGTGTGGGTCAGATCTATAGCAAATAAAAAGAATGAGAGGTAAGAGTAGAGAGAGAATCGATTGAGAAGATAAAGAGAGGAAGAAAATAGTGGAAATGGTTTTAGGATTTGGGAAGAAAAAGAGGTGGGTATGGAGAGGGGGAGAGAGAGAGAGAGAGATGAGAAATTAATTAGGGTTTGTGATGAAAATTGTATATTTAATATTTAAATATGAAATATCTGATTTGTGAGTAATGAAACCTCCTCCTTGTTTTTAGAATAATGATCTTTAAATATAGGGCGGGACGTAAATTCCACTAATTTTAATGGTTACTCATTAAAATATAGAGCATCTTACATTTAAATTTTTTTTTAGAGATGCTCTTATATACTTGAGGGAGGGAGAGTAGATTTACATTACTTTGACTATGATCAAGATCCATGTGGTCATCTTTATATGAAAGAGGTCGTATTGTGACATCGTGTGTGCAACAAATTATTTTGTGTATTGTTGTGTATGTACCGTTGGCTACTTCCATTCAACTATGGGCACGAAACCAACTTAAATGTACATGATTAGTTGAGGGAGACTTTGGCCAAACGTGATTCGGTGATAAGTTTGTTCCTTTAGGGTCTACTTGCAAGTTTTAGAATATTGGTTATAGGTGTATTTGAAAAACTGATTTTAAGCGTTTATAAGGATTCTAATTTTAGATTTTTTTTTTTTTAGTAACAATTTTTAAAACAGTCCAACTTATGATTGAGAGTTTATTATCCATCAATTCTAAAGGTTTTTAAAACGTTCATGTCTTAATTTTTTGGCGTTTTCACACTTAATTATACATTTGATTTTGCAAACCGTCCTTCTGTCCATTTCTTGTCAATTTCTCCGTTAAGTGAACACCCATAGTCAATTTTCTTTTCAAAATGAAAGGGTAATGTCGTTTCCTTGAGGTTTCTCTTCAATAATTTACCCTTTTCTTCCCTTTCTTAGAGCATTCTTCGCATCATCCTCTCTTCTTTTCTCTATATCCATTTGTGGGCACATATGAAGTAATTTTGTGCAACATTTATCTAGATCAATTTCTCTGTCCTACAAGGGAAGGATCTTACGAAGAAGAAAGAAGAACCACCAGTTTGTAGGGAGGGAGATCTAATTATGGATCAACTGGTAAAGCTAACTAGTAAAGGTTGTGGTGTCCTTGTTATAGACCATGACCATCGTCAGCTATGTACATTTACAGATGGTGAATTGCAGCATACACTGAAAGCTAGTGGTAAAACTATCTTCAAGCTCTCAATGTGAGAAATGTGTAACAGGTAAAGTACTATTCCTCTCCTGTTTACCATCTCTTAAATCTATTAATTGTTCCGATATTCATAAAGTGGCTCAATGCGTAACTTCAGCCAACGGCGTAATCAACTCAAGCAAATGATTGGTGAAACCATTATGTGATTATATTGTAATCAAATCATAACATACATTGCACCATATGGAGTTTGTCGGCAGTCACATTATTCTTCTTCCTTAGTTCGACTTGGACTCTGTGGTGAAACGAATATGATATCCGATTAATCCAATACCACTTTGTTGAAGAAAAATAAGAGATTTATAGCCACGATATGAAGTAAAGATCTCAAAGACTCAAAAACAATGTAATTTGCAAAGTAAAGAAGATTTTAGTATAATATGGAGAAATAATATGAAGTTTAATCATAATGAAGACTCAACCATATATAGAAAACAAATCTTGGATGTCCAAACCGTAATAATAGAGTTGTAGTTGTAGTAGAATGCAAGAAAACTCATCAAAACACGAAAATAGATGTACCAGATCGGCTAATGCTCCCAGGTTGATGCGATGTATTCCACCAGTTGACTGAAAACTTGATTATTGGTATATCGATAGGTCAAGATAACATCATCGCTCGCTCTCGATTGGCTAGCACCAAGCAGGCTTTAGCTTCTCTGCTTTTGGTGCTCCAGCGCCAAACTAGCCCCAGGCTAGCGAAAATGTGGTTAGAATACTGTCCAGTCCATAATTTCAACATTTTCAAGTTCAACACAAATTTTAACTCCCAATAGGACTTTCAAATATAAATTCAACTAGAATTTGCCAAATAAACTTGAATAGAATTCCACAATAGCATTCCAAAAAAATTTCTTCTCATAAAACTCTCAATTATCTTCAACAAAAAATTCGAGTTACACTCAAATTCTAACAGTCTCCACCTTGACAAGAATTCCACTGCAATAAACAAAATTTCAAATCAAAAAAATTCTCCACCTGGATACAAATTTCACTTCAAGGAATAAAGACTCTTTAATGAAAAATACAAACAAATTTCTCCATCAAAAATTTTTTAATTAAAAAAATTCCCTATCTCTGCTACCCCAACTAGGGCCAAAGTGATCTAATGGCCATCTAACAAGGTTGAAACAAGCCCTATAATAGCATCAACAGAATGATCTTGGCTAGAATCAATACCGTTAATTGCATTCTAAGATTCAACTAAATCGGCAAAATTGTACCTATGTAGAATCGTATGGCCAGAAATGGATATGTTACTAGCAACTAAATACAATGACACCGTTGATGATGGTGACAATGAGGATTTACCTAAGACTTCTAAATTAAATTAAGAGGTATTCTTTAAAGAAGACCCTATATTATAGACTCCAATGGTACATAATCTAACTTCAAATCCACCCGAGTTCTTAAAATATTATGACTGCTCAAAGATTCTTATAAGTCTATAAGACTACAAGATATATAAATGGGATTTTCTATGCATCTTTATCAACACACAGGCTAATTTACTAACCTTCAAGACTCCACCTTCAACAATATACATGTTCCCTTCTAAATTAAGAATGCTTAAGGAGATAAAATTTATCTTCAAATATAGTACATGTCTAACAGAATCAAGTGTTCTAATCATCCTATCAAACATCTTTATTCTGAACTAATCGATATTAGTTATCCAATAAGGTGTATTATTATTTGTCATTACATCATCTTTTTGAAACTTTTCGTATGTTGGAAAAAAAATTCGATTGGGAAACATAAGAAAATTACTAGCTGTATCAAGAATCCAAGCTTCATCGGGTTTGGAGTTGTTGTCAGACATAAGAAAGAATATCATGACTATAAAAAAAACATGTCTCTAAAAGAAATGTATGAAGTGGGCAACAAACACAATAAAATCAAGCCCGAAGCTTCTTCATCATATTTGACTTTCAAGGTTTCCAAATTAACGACAATTTCTGTAAAAGTAGCTAGCTGATTCTCAAGAAATGAACCTTTCTGTCATACTATGAGAATATAGACGTTGTTTCAAATGCAATTTTCTGTTAAGACTCTTCGTATAATTGCTCTAATGTCAACCATAATGCAACTGCTGATTTCTCCTTCAAAACATCCTGAAGAATATTATTTGAAAAATGAATATGCATTTGAGAGCCTTTGATCCCTCCATTGTTTCTCCCTCATAGTCCAAGTTGTAAGCATCTTATCAAATCCCAACTACACATTGTCCAAATCCATCTGAATGATTCCACCATAGTATTTCAAACAGAAATCTTCAATAAAAAATTCGAATCACGCCCAAATTCTAATAGACTCCAATGTTAATCAATTCATAGATAGGGAGAGAAGGAGAAGAATGCTCTTTTTAAAATGAACTCTTATTTTGCGGTTTCGAGCTTCAATGGACGACAGATCGTAGCCATGGTTTACATCAACTTCCATTAGAGATTTGACATTTGAGAGCAAATAACGTTAAACATTTTCTAAAGTTCAATCACTGACCAAAACTCTA